ACTGCAGGTGGTCCCATGGGGATATGGAGGTTGAAGTCGGGTAATGGTGAAGATCCTGCAGGAACCAGGTGGTTAGTTAGAGTTGATCAAACCAGAGATTGAAGAAAAACGGGAAGACACACGATTTTCAGTTGGATGATTCTCAGAAGTTGATGGAAGATTTACTCCAGAGACCGCCTCATCTTCAAATTTCAAAGGCTCACTTTCAGCTTGGGGTGATTCCATGGGTTCTTTTTTTTGTCGGGTAATGGTGAAGAAGCTGCGAGGAATGATCACATTTGAACTTGGACTTGACCGACGAATAGAATCAAGAAATAAGAAAGAAATGCCTCACGATTCTTGTTGACTGCTGAAATCGCCTCAACTTCATATTTCAAAGGGTCATCTTTGGCTTGAGGTGCTTCCATGGAATTGACTTCGAACTCGGGCAATGGTGAAGGGCCTGCGAGGAACAGATTGTTAGTCAGACTTGACCAAACAAGAGAAACAAGAAATAAAAAAGAGATACTCACCATTCTCGGTTGAATGATTATCATTTACTCCTGAAACTGGATCTTCATTTTTCGAAGGGTCATCTTTGGCTAGAGGGGCTTCCATGGGGATATCAAGGTTGAACTCGGGTAAGGGTGAATCACCTGCAGGAACTAGATTGTTAGTTATAGTTGAACGAAGATATTCAAAAGAAGATGACTCACGATTTTGGGTAGGATGATTCTCAGATTTTGCTGAATCAGGATTGGAGTTGACAATATCGGCCATGAGTGAACGATCTGATGATGGTGACTTGAGAGTTCGGATAGCAAAATCGATCACATCTTGATGAACCGACGGACTAACTTGTGGCTTTGGGATAGAGGTAGCAATTTGCGAGTCGGCTGGCGATGAGAGAGTGGGAGGTCTAGGTATGTCGGTCATCGATTTGGTACCTTTGGAGAGGGCTATTTGGTCTTCAGCTGCCGCTTCACCAGAAGTAGACTGAACGGCTGGATAGGGGGTCCTTCGAGGTTGAATAGGAGGAAGTGTTGTTGAGCTAGCAATACCTTTAGCAAACTCAACATCGCGTAAGAATGAGTTGAGTAAGTATGCTTGGTTGGGTGCGGGAAGAGATTGCATCTCTTGAATTAGCAATCGATATTGGTGGGTTAAGAGTCCTGTAGATGACGAGTCAGGGATGATAGCCGATGATATGGTGGTAAGTTGAGGTGAAGAAGCAGGAAACGAAGTCGAGGTGGTGGGTTGAGGTGGAGCCGGTGAAGGTATAAACAATATTTTCTTTCGTAGTCCTTCTTGTGGGCCATGATTATGATGACTATGATCCTCTTCTTGAAATAGGAGGAAAAACATATTATGATCCTTCCTATTGCGACGAACTATAATTTTAAAAGGACATGTCTTGAGGGGGCGAGCAGTTGAGTTTGAATGAGTTTCTGTCGAAGTCGATTGAGTTTGCTGAGCAGGCGATGTCGATTGACTTTCCTTCGCTTGCTTCTTGGCCTTTGTTAGGTGTCTATGATCGCCTAGACTACACTTGTACTGGATTGATGTTGGTAGTCTGGTGTCGAGAGTGCTGATTTCAAACCCATGATCGGCGGCGAACTTGTGCAGATAGGTGGCTGCTGCAGTATGATCGGTAAATGTAATCTCGATTGGAGGAGGGGGTATAGGATTGGGGTATGTGGGTATGTTGTTGTTGGCTGAGCTGGTATTCGTGGTCATGATTACTGAGAGACAAGTTTGGAGGTGTGAAGGTTGCTGCAGGAAGTATTGAGTTGTGAGTGAGGTGTGAGTGAGGTGTGAGTGAGGTGTGAGGATTGGTGGAATTAACATGTGATCTTGTTTGTTGAATCGGTTGGGGACTTCTGGGTTGTTGGCGTGGATTTGGTATGTGTATGAAAGTTGTGAAAGGTGGGGAAAGTTGGATCGTGAAACTTGAAAGAGATGTGAAAATGGTGGGGTAGATGGGCAAAGAAGTCTTCTTGCTCGAAAAGTCTTCATGGGCCGGTGTGGGTGTGAAAGGTGGTGAAAACGGCTGTGAAGACGGGTGAAGGGTGTGAAGGAGTGTTTCATGCATTTGGCGGTTGTGTGGGACTTAGAGCATCCACAGTGGTGGGCTCCAAATCGGGGCTCCAAATCGAGCGAATTCAAATTTGGTGGGGCCCCAAATCAATCCGGATGCAGTCGTTCGGACTTCAAAAGTGTAGATTCTATGTGTTTACACACACTTTGAGATTGGTACGCGTGGGCTTACATGTGTGAGGTATGGGATTGAACAAGTGCGGGAATTTGGAGCCCGGCTTTTTGTTGCCAAATATGTAGCCCAAAGCTCGAAATTTGAAGCCGGCTACAAAAAAATTTGGCGATGGGGACTGCCATTGCACCAAAAAATCGGGGCTCAGTCACCAAATTTGGCGATAGCCCCGATTTGGAGCCCACCACTGTGGATGCTCTTAAAGCTTGGGAGGTTACTAAAGATGCATCCTAGCATCTTAGGATGCATCTGCGCGCTTATCTTCGGACTCGCTGCGAGGATACATCGACTGTTATCCTCGGGTCGGGGCCGAACTTCGAGTGCACACGAGGTGGTTTTGCCCAAGGAATGATTTTTCCTTTGAGACTTCTCTTATCTCATCCTGTCTTGCGGCTCACTAGTCAAATGTATAAGTTTGGAGAGCTTGGTTCTCTTTTGTTCATTGAAGTCAGAACACTGATAAGACAAATCCTCATGGCCTGTCGTAAGTGTGCTTCGAGGAACGGGACATGCAGAAAAAACTTACAGGATCATTTCGATTTTGCCATCAACTTCAGTGTGGATGCAAGTATGTTTTTTCTCAATTGTTCTATCAAGTTTATTTTTCAAGGTGTCTTCTGTCGTTTGGCCTCCATCTCAACGAGTCTCACAAGTAACACAAACACAAATAAAACAAAGTCCAAATTGAATTTCATATCAAATATCCTTCAAAAGAGAAGAATGAAATGTCGAGTTCTTTGCAAGAGTTTTAAAAGAAATCTTAAAAGAAAGTTTAAGAAAACTTGATTGATTTGTCCATTGAAATCTTTAAGATTTGTTAACTTGATCTTCACTGAGGTACATAGCGATCTTTTCAAATCCATCATGCATATGGAAAATACCTTCCAAATCAACATGGTCTGCAATGAATTTTCGGGTGATCACGACCTTAGCATCGGCGGCTTTGAGAGCTGCGACGGTTTCAGCAGCGATTGCTTGAAGATCGGCTAAGGTGGTACGAAGTGTAAACTTGATCAGAAAACTAAACAAAATCAAAAGTGATCTATCAAAATGGAGACTCACTGTGTAGGGAAGGAGCCACAGGACGCAATTTTTCGATGGCTAGGTTCATTTGTACGAGCGAGTTGATGATATCGACGAATACAGATGAGCATTCGTCCTGAAGCGGGGTTAGAATTTTTTTAGGATAGAGAAATGCATCAGTCAAAGAACAAGAAAAGCGAAAAAACACATCAAGATGTCATCAACTAACTTGAGTTGGGATCTTTCCTGGTCCAGTGTTGGCAAGGAAGGGGGATGGTGGACCGGCTAATGCGGTAGTAAGATTGTGGAGATCTGATAAAGTCTCAGTTAATTCATTGTGAGCTTGGGAAGCTGTGTAGTTGAAGACCGCGGAAAGGATTCTAGTTAAGTTGTTTTGATGTCCAAGAACTTCTTCTTTAGCATTTTGCAAATCGGGATAAGCGGCGACAAGGTCAGTGGCATTGGGTTGCTTGATACCATCATCTTGGAGCTGGGCACTGGATAACGAAGGAGCAAGGTACAATCAATCATCAGTTAAACCCAACTCGTCATCTATGCTCCTGAGGATAATTTACCGTGAGAATGAGGCGCAGCCTTTTGTAATTTTAAAGCACGATAACACAACCGGTCAGCGTTGAGTTCCAGAAGATAGATGATGTGGAAAATATCACGTACCGAGAAGAGCAATGGGGAATAGAACAGCTTTTGAGAAAAACATATTGTAGAGTTGAGATTGAAGCTAAGTTTTAGTTGGGATGATATTGATTGGTGGATGGGTAAAGGCAGTTGAAGGACGGATGATGGTGCTTTTATAAGATTCTATCAGATATATCATACATGTTCAATTCTAATTCTTTTTGCTGCAATTTCCATCTTGGGTTAGAAATCACGTGAGAGCTCAAACGTTCGGCTTGTTCCACATAACGCCAAATCGGTTTACAACTTCATCTCTCTTCTTGTATTTTCCATCATGGCGTAAAAACGAAGCTTGGGTTGATTCAGATTTCTTGGGCGTGGCGGCGTCTACATAGGACCCAGGAATGCGCCTACAGAGGTATCTGATGTAAATTCCGACGTTTTGTTGGCGGGTTTTTAGGGCACTAAACGACACATTCACAGCACCTACAGTAGTGCAAAATGTGCGTGACATTAAAGGCTTTCGTTTAAGCTAGCTTTCAACCTCATAGCACCAATACTTCCTGAGATAATGGGATGTAACGGTCAAAAAGAGCCTTAAAATCGAACGTCGGAATCAGGCCTTGGAGGCACGAAAAAAAATTGCGCGAATCGATTTTGCGCGAAAGTGAGGGGAGTTGAGAGACTGGGGGTAGGCTCATTTGATAGCCCTAGTCCATGCGCATCTTTTGAAGTGCTCTGGACCTTGAGACAAGGAGTGGTGTGTTGTGTAGAGCCCAAAAACTGAAAAACAGGTTTCATCAGATACCTCTGTAGGCGCATTCCTGGGTCCTGTCTACATACATACCGAGCTCCCCATTCGGCACCGGTGCCGTTCAGTCAGGTCACACTGACCAAACCAAAAGTTGAGGTGTATCGTGAACGAGAGCACACATGATCTTAAAGCCCGGGCGCAGCAGTGTTCACAGCCTTCCTCCTCAAATTCTACCACTTGTGGGTCAAGATCCAGTGTACATAGCTCAGACCAGCAAATTCCCTTCTCCGAACCGAGGTTCCCGGTTTGGTGGGCTTCCAAGCTTTGCACCGCTTGGTCGGAAGTGTAGCGACGCGACACCCCTCCATTTGTAACTCTATAATCTTTTATTTTTTTCTGTTTGAACGTCCACAACGTGGGCAAGCTTGGTTGGAATTTTAAAAGTGGCTTGTCCACAAGAAACTGACAGTTCTAAACCCTTCTGAAGTTCTTGTTCCTCGGCCCGATCCCGACAGTTTATTGATGATGGTTTTACCCCACCGGGGAAAGGAATTGGAAGGGCTTTAATCCTGATCAAAAACACCGAGGTCTCCATAGATTTTTGTTGTGGTGAATTTCTTGTACGAGGATTGATTTCATAGAGCTTAGGTGTCATGATGGATCTTTCTTTTTCATTGTTGAAGTTATGTAAATGAATTGTTCAAAGACAGTCAAACAAAATGTTGAAAAAGAGTGAAATGCAAGTCTTCCTTGTCTTTTGAACAACATGTTAAGGACATCATGACTATGGTAAAACAAAAGAGTGAAACAGAAAATCAGGAGACGATTTTTTTCTAAATTCATCTTCCCTCTACTTCGTCAAGTAAATCTTTAGCTTTTCTCTCCATGGGATTTTTTTCCCTCTTTGCTGACCTTCTAGAATCCCACACATTCTATTAGTATTACCAATGGTCATCTATGATTCTTGCATGTGTGGATACTGTCAAGAAACAGGGGAGGAAAAGGTGCAAAAAAATCGAGTAGGAGAATATATGTACCATATCCAATGTGTGTTTTCTTGTTGAGAAGCTCACACAATACCTTTTTTTGACTCAGTGAAATGCAAAAAATAAAAAGTTAAAAAGCTCTTATGGAGTTCTTGATCTACTTTTCTAGGAAGACAAGTAGGCATCAGATTATGTTGATGAATAAAGTTGAATATGATCAGATTAATCTGGATGGTACTCAACGTATGCTGAAAACTCAGGAAGACCAATGAGTCATCAGTTGCGGTGCAATTCAATCAATGCATTTTCAACTTGTTGAAGCCCTGCAACTCTTGCCTCTTGTTGGATAATTTTTGCTAGCCTCACACCAACTCACAAAGCATAGTCCCTCATAGTCCCACAGACTGAGGCACGCTCGATGATCATGGTGATTGTATGCTTGCTCTACCTATACGATAGCCAATTACTTTTCTTCAGCCGCATAGGGGTCAAGTAGGTTCAGCTCCTATGTAAGCTTGGTCCAGCATTCCCTTGGAGGCTGGAGCTCACGCAAGATGCGCAGATAAGTTGGACGTAAAGTCAAACCTGCGTAATCTATCTTGGTAACAAAACGTTGAGCTTGACCGAGAGAAACCGGAATGAAACTCCGAAGGCCTTACCGTAACTGACCGTATCACTTGTCACACCAATTCAATCAGCGCAGGGATTATTTTTGGGATGCGCGAGAGATGTATTTATGATGTTATGAAGGCAAGACATGGACCATTGAAAAAGCAGCCCGTACACAACTAGGCGAATCAAATGATGATATTCGTGTAAGCTGATGAAATGCGTAGGATGAAGGATACTGGGAGATTAAAGACACGTCTCAACGGGAGGGTAGCTACAATTCAACTGGTAAGGAGAAAAGGAGAAAAAGGGATTGATGAAGAATGGTTTAAGGAATCGATCTGACGTATCATAAGCTTAGGTAGGGGTTTGATCGAACGGATAAAACCTTAAGTACCAAAGTTTAAACTGCTACGTAGTCTTCGATTTCAAGAATTTAGAAATCAAACTGCCACTCTCCTACTTGGCATTCATCATTCAGCTAAACCAACTTCTCAAGCTTCATCATCAACACTTTTCAATTCAAAGTAAATCATCATCATCATGGAACAGCAGAAATCAATACCTCGTAAGTTTAATCAGGTCTTGAGGTTGAAGTTAGATCATCTGCTGACTTGCTTTCTAAATTCAGAGGACCTTATGGTGGTTGTCACTTATCTTCGATCAAAGGCAGATTTGAAAACCAAGACAGGTGTATTAGAAGGAAAGGTAAGATACCGTTATATAATTACCTATCTTTCACGAATTTCACCTAGTTTCCAACTTGACTAACTTTGAGCTTTGTTATTGTGATCAGCGACATGATTATTTCAAAGGAAAAGCAGCGGTCAAAGCTCTTCTTTCTCCCTCATATGCCAAGGTCCATCCATCAACTTTACCAAAAGTGACCGACGAGAATACAGCAAGTCAATTATTACATTCGATCGTACCCTATGCATTCTTTCTAAGAGTCGAAAGATCCAACCAATCTATAGCAGGAGCCAAGATCCTACAAATCAATCCTGCACAACTCTTTAATCAAGAAGAATATTATGCATGGCTTTATAATGGAAACCAATTAGCTGTCATTGCAGGTGCAGCCTTGATGGTGCTTGTGATCCTTGCTGGAGTGATGTTTCCACTTTGGCCTATGAGTTTGAGGATCGGGGTTTGGTATCTTTCGATTGCTGCTTTGGGATTAGTCGGATTGTTTTTCTTGATTGCGATTGTTAGATTGATCCTTTATGTGATCACGTATTTTGCTGCTGCTCCTGGGATTTGGTTGTTTCCTAACTTGTTTGAAGATGTTGGATTTGTTGAGTCTCTCTTCTTTTTTTCTCTCTTTTCGTTTATTAGTGACTGATTCTTTATAAATTGGTTTCTTTAGGTTGATTCGTTTATTCCTTTATGGGGTTGGGATATCCCACCACCTAAAAAGGTATATATCACCTTTTTCTCTATATATGTCTCTTCTCTCATCTTGACAAAAAATCACCTTACTGATCTTGTTCTTGGATTGGTTTTGCACATAGGTTAAAAAATCAAAAGCAGAAAAAGCAGCAGAAAAAGAAACCAAACGAGCCAATAAAAAATCTAAAGCTTTTGGTGTTGATGATAATGAACCAAGGATTGTAGAATTAAAAGAAGATTAGGAAAACCTTACCCCCCAAAAAAACCCCTGTTTGTTTGTAGATCCTTTTTCAGAACAAAAACAAACTCTATTATATGTATCTAGTTTTTTTTAATTAGTTACTTTTTCTTAGACCTTTGGGGTTTTTTTGTTTGGATTTCCTTTTTTTTCACTTTGATTCTTTTCTTTTTTCCCCCAAGTTTCTAGAAAATAATTTGAATGGAAGAATAGAATTGTTTTCAAGGAAGAAGGGGGATGGAAATTGATCAAAACTTTGATAGCCTTTATAAAATTAAACAGTGTTCATATCTCTTTGTTTTTTTGGAATTACTTGATCATAGATTTTTTGGGTTTTTCTTTTTGGGAGGGTGGTCTAGAGTATTCTCAGTGATCTGAAATGAACTTTGGAAGGAGCTTTTTTCAGTGTTTTGTTTGATTGTCAGGATGTAAATCACACCCAGGGTTATTGACAGCTAAAGTACCAAAGGTATAGCTTTAGTTCAGCACTTATGTAGATCAATTCCTCAAATTTTGGCGGAATAAAGATCAAAACTTTTGAGTATATATCTCTGTAACTCCAATTTTTGGTCAAGTCTTTCAGCAAGGAATCTTTTCACCCTTAGCAGGCAGCACAATGTGAATGTGTGACTCTGACTCCAAAGCAATTCAATTCAGAACACAGGATATATACCAGTACTAGAGAAGTGGGGGCGGCCCACCGCCCTTTCAGCGTTGTCCTCAATGTCAGAAATCCCCTCACATCCCTTTGGGTCTTATTCCTCTCCTGACTACAACTTATCATATTGTCTTGGGATTCTTCCCTTTGTTCTCACTTTTGCTGCTCTACACCCACAGTTATTTCATTTTTGCACAATCCATTTCATTGCAAATGTCCCTGGTTTCAATCAGATGATCCCACCCATGCCATGAGGCATCTTGTCTCCTGCTTTTCACCTATCAAAATCTTCTCCACTTGGTATCAGTGATGTTGTACAAACAAAAATAAAACATTATGCAACTAAGTCAGATACTTGCATAGCCATGTGTCCTTCCTCTGGTGTGCTTGCATACCTGAGCCATGCATCACTCTTATGATCTTATAACATACCCATTATGTGGCCTTCTATCTCTAGAATGTCTGCTTCTTTCATGAGAACCACCCAGGCCCTTTCTTTCCTCTATGTATTTACATCATGGAGACACTTCATGATGACTCCAGACCCTGACAGCTCCTGCAGTGAATTTTCCAGCTCTTCATCTCTTGGTTTGTGAGTCCCACCTCTTTATACAAAGTTATATCCCACCAGTGGTCTAAGATAGTTGCCATTCAATGGTTTTCTGTCTTTCTCTTTCTTCTTTCTGACATGTTCTACACTGCCAGCCTCCACCTTTGAATTATGATGGTTGTTGTCAATGGTCCCATCAATTCCATCAATCCTATCATCCTTGTGTTACCTTCCACACCAATACCTGACTTGGTGTGCAGAAAGAATCCAACATAGTGCAGTTTGCCATAGATATGATGGTGTCCAGCTTGACCCCCCTGTCCCTGATTTATCAATGATCATAAATGGTGCCTCATTGATCAACCCTTGTCCAACTATCTCCACCCACCTGTACACTACCTGTGCTCAGTGACAGTTTCCAACTCTTCTGAAACCACCTTTCAACAGCCACATATGATACTCTGTCTTTCCAATTGGCTATTCTGGAGGACAACCCAGCTCTTACTTAACACACATTTCTTGTTTTTGATTCAAAAGCCTTCAATCTTGTTTGAGTACTCTGGGAAGCAATAAAGCAGAGATACCAAGTGACAGGATATATAATGACAATCAAATGTGAAGTCCAAGTAAACTATAGATTGTTGCCCGAGGAAGAGATATTGCTACACTGTGTAGAGTCACATTAGTCAGTTGGCCAATGGCCCTATATGGAACTTGAAGTATTCTTGCTCAGCATAAGATTTGAAACACTTTGTGATGTGTTCAAATGCCATGTTTGATATCTATTGTTCATTATCTGTTTCCTACCTCAGTCACATCATCTTGTACCTTATGACATAATATGTGTGGTGCATATGTATTTGCATCGGGTTGTGAGTTGTGAGATTAAGATTCATGTAAACAACTGAAGTCAAGATGACCAAGTTTGCCAATTCATTTGTCAAAGTATTCTTTATAAGATTCAGACTGTTGTCAATTAATTCAAGTGTCCCTATATTGAGTCTATTATACCAAGCATCATATACGGTAGTATCACATACATATCATCATTGAGCACACAATTGTTTCTTTTGTTTTTTCATTGTATCATGCTATTTACATATAACATATGTGCTCTACCTGAATATCAAACTTGAGGTTGACCAAGTGAAGCGGTAGGTGAAATGCATTGTATTGGTTGGTCCAACAGCAATATCAAATAAAAGTAGCAAACAATGTAAATAGTCTAGTCAGGACTGAGTGTATTTGTATCAAGTGCAAAAAGAGGGATTTTTCTATTCACAGATGAAGAAGTATTCAACAGGTACATGCATTGTTTGAAAACAAAAATTTGTATCCTCACTTCATCATAGCAACCTGCACCGGAATCTTTGTTGAGCAAAATTGTGCAGTGAGTAACATGAAATTGAACTTACAATCTCTGAATCAGGGTACACTTGGTTTTTAAAATGTCACTTAATAAGAAAATTTGCATGGGTTTGTTTCATAGAATGCGCTGCACATCAATATATTTTCTGTTACCTTTGGGTACTACAACATCTATTGTCAAGGCATCCCAATTTATTGTGTTGCTTTGATGGCCTTCATCTTCAGAATTTATGTGCACGCAAAATTTGAAGAGGAGCAGCATTTTAATACGTGTTTGGACTTGGAAAAGGTCTGAAGAGGTGAATTGTTAACATGGCCTGTCCACCCGTGCAGACATCCCAGACATCATCTCTTGGGTTACATAGGGAATATCCATCAATCACAAATCCAACTGGGTCGTCAAAAATCGGCTCGTAGTACATCCTACGTGGAGACTTTTGTATGCATGTATGATCCTTGATACATACGCACATGTGTAAAGTTGAAGACTTCAGAAGAGGAACACGTGGCTGATTCATGTCCACCCTTGTTGTGAGTCTTTCCCACACACTGCCACGCTTCTTGCAGCTTCTTGCTATCCTAAAGTTCGGTACAGAAGTGTTTTACCTTCATATTCACTTTTTCTCAATCCGGAAGTCTGAACCGTAACGGTATCAACGGATTAAGGAATGAAATGTTCTTGTTGTACATATATAGGAATGTTTGTGATGTTGTTCAACAGGAGACAAATCTTTCCTTTCCACTTTTTGGAAACCTCTTCCCCCAGAAATGTTGGATTCCAAAGACATCAGACTTGACCAGTTGAAGACCTCATCAAATTATAATCCATGGGGTAGATATACGGCAAGATGGTCGAGGAACTTTTTATTTTTAATCTTCTTCAGCTGGGTTTCAATGGTCACTTTGTGTGGCTTTTTTTTACATTCATTTCGACATCAACTTCGACACTTGAGTCCTTCCTTTCGATCATACGGTACTTGGAATTTACTACAAAATGAAAACCCTCTAAATCCATTATCGCAACCTAATCTGTCACCACCAACTCCTGAGGAAATCTTCTCTCCAATCAGATACCCTATTCCAGAGCAATATCGTGAGGACACCGCTACCGGACTTACTTACCATCCTAATGGTCATCTCTTTCTTCAGTCAACCACGATACCACTTCGAACACATCCATTTATGACATTAATTGAACGTGCAAAATTAGAATGGGAATCAAAGCTTGCACGTCAATCTAAAACTCTCAAAGAAGCCGTTGCGGAATACAAGCGTAGATATGGACGAAAACCACCGGCTGGTTTTGAATTATGGTATGCATATGCTACCAAGAATAATGTAAATATGATTGATGAATATGATCAAATATCAAAGGATTTGTTTCCACTTTGGGCATTGTAAGTCTACACCAATCATTTTGTTCTTCTTTTCGAGGTATCAATTGGGATCCTTTCCTGTTACAATGTTGGTTTTAAGTTATAGTGGGATCGATAGAAATTGAAGCTTTTTATTCTAACCCAGAAGGTGATACATACTGACTTGTTTTCTCATTGAATGTGCGGTATTACACACAGGTCACCTAACGAGCTGCGTAAAAGAGCTGAGAGAATTCAAACACGAGAAAAGTCACCATTCGTACTTCACTTTGATGCGGATCGGAATCTAGCTCCCATTGGTGAATCAGCGGCAACAGGAAACGCGAATTACCTGAGTCGACTTTGCCAGGAATTCGCACCACTCCTTGCTTCAGCCAACTTACCGCCTGTTTCCATGGTTTTGCGATCCCTGGATGAACCTCGTCTTTTGTTAGGTTGGGACCAGCAGAAGCGGTTATATGAACTGGCAAAACTCGGTCAATGTATGTCTTCTCAACTTTCACTTATCTTCACGGCCTCTATCATATGATATATGACTGATAGAGCTATTTGATGTTGTACTCAGATCTACCAGAAGATAACAAAATCAATGGGGTCGAATTAGAAGAATATGATCCAGCTAAATATGATATCAATAAAGATATGGCGGAAGACTGGGCTGTGCATTGCCCTCCAGAATCACCCATCCATCGAGATATTATCCACTCATCCTCGTCCCAAAGGTCCCAAAGGGCGCTAAGATCAGGCAGAGATGATCAACAATTACCATCAAATCATTCTTGGATTTTCCATCATCCTCGTTCCATGGACATTTGTCTGAATCCTGATAATATTGATCAACACGGAGCAACAGCAGGTCGAGCTTGGCCACCCAGTCCTATGGTCCCACTCTTTACTCTCTCAAAGACACCTCTTCATGCAGATATTCTTGTAGTACCGCCTTTGTGGGATGCTAAAAATGAATATGTCAGTATCAATCATTCAAACCTTCTTGATCGAGCGCAATAGGTTTAAGAGGAAATATTTCCTGATATGAGATGGTCCTTATCTTTAGACCAACTCGATTCCTTGGTCTAAAAGACCTTATGACAAGTTGTTTTGGCGTGGTACTGTCTCCGGTTAGTTTTTTTTGTTTCAACATGGGGAAGGCAGACGTGAACAAAATTTTGAATCACAGTTGACTGACCTCTCACCTCATTTGCTGAATATTACTCTCCTTTGGACATTATAGGTGTAAGCCTTTTTCCTCAAAGAAATATTTCCCTTTCCATGTATGATCCAGCTAACCAAAACCCTTCATCACTGATCACTTTCATCACTATCCATACAGACCCATCATACGGACACAAATACGAAGTGGAATACATCACATCGCATTCGACTTCACCAGTTTACACATCAACCTAAATCAAATACTCGTGTTTTGACTGGAGATGAGAAAATCATGAATTCAATAAAGACTAATCAAAAACAATCATCAATTCATGAATTCGAAGCGAATGATTCTGATCTCATTCAACGTTATTTGAATATCAGTTTAGTGGGCGGTCCATACGAATGTGATCCAAAACAATGTGAAAAATTGGCAAAGATGATTGAGTTTGGTAAATCGATGAAAAGTGAAGAAGAAGCCAAATATAAATATGTATTAGATGTAGATGGAAACGGATGGAGTGGTAGGTTTCGTAGATTATTAGCTACTCAACATTTAGTTTTAAAATCTAGTATCTTGCCTGAATGGTATTCCGATCGAATCCAACCTTGGTACCATTATATACCTTCAAAAATCGATTATACTGATTTATATGATATCATGAGTTTCTTTACTGGAGATATGGACGGGAATGGAGCTCATGAAGATTTAGCTGAGATCATTTCATCTCAAGGTCGACATTGGGCTCTTAATTATTTCAGGAGAGAGGATATGGTGGCTTATATGTTTAGACTTGTTTTGGAATATACAAGGTTGTATCATCGATCAGAGAATGGTACCTTTACCGATTTTGATGAATCTGTCTTATAATAGTTGGGATATTTCTTTATTAATTAGGTCGATCAATCCAATAATCACTTCAAGGATTTCTTCATGTAACATAGTGTTTTTTAATAATACCTTTGCATATTCCATTAAGACCTTGTCACATATATTTTCAAAACAATAATTACAAAAAATCAAAACTGTTGGCATTTGTGGTCCATAATCATCAGATCATTGTCCAAACACATCAGCCTCTTGGATATCAAATCAAGAACAGTCTATTTAAGAAGTTGGAAACGTTTGCTCGTCAAACTCAAGTAAATTGGCCCAAAATTGTTGTCAAGCTTTGTGAACTCGAGTGTACAACCCCTTCACACACTTCTTTTGCTCATGAATTATTGGCCCCCCACACTCTGAGTCTCAATCTATTGCCCCGGAGAGAATTCTGAACCGTATATATTTTAAGTTGAATGATTTAATTTGAAGCATCATTGCATCCTTATCTTTCTAGTAACAATCCTACCGAATGTCAGCTAGATTTATCTCAAGAAGAATAGCAGATGAAACAACTGACCTTGCCTACCACCATTCATTTGGCATGTCAATCCTGCCACCTACCCATCCAATTCCAGGGTTTGCTTTGACTGTTTGCATTCCAGTATAAGAAATGTTTTTCTAAATCTATAGTAGAAGAAAATCAAAATCAACTTTGATTAAGATGAGGATTTGAATTTGAATTTGTTCTTGATGTGAAGGAACAACATGAATCCAAAGATAACAAGATAAGCTTACAAAATTGAACATATTTTTGATCTGTTCTCTGCACAACATTTCTTTCACATACACATCATCATGTCACTTGTGGATATTGGTGTAAGCAACAGGTTTCCAGTTGCCACCAACCATACTACCATCCTCTTTTTCAGTCAAAAATTCATTGAGTGCAAATCAAAGCTTGGATTCAATCCAGTTTGCATTTACAGTCTTTGGAGCATTTGGGTCCTTCTTTACTCAAGGTATGCTGTCTGACATTTCAAAGGATGAAATCTTAAATTTGAGATCGAGCTATGATGGAGGAACAATGATGCTTGATGGCAAAAGTGGGGGACAGGAACATAATGATCCATCTTTGGAAATAGTTGAGAGATGGATGTCATCAAGCAGTTGCAGTATGGTTTTGGTTTGCTTGCTATGGTGTCAAGGTGGGTTGAATTCTTTCAAGATAAATTTTTCCAAGTCCCCAAAGGAGTTATCTGACTGCAGACATTTTTATGGTTTTTAAAATGTACCTTTCAAACTCTTTTTGTAACAGGGAGATCTCTTTTTGGGGACTGTAACTGCTGCCAAACGACATTTTTTGGACCATGTTTCTTTCTTGATTTCAACAGAGCTTTTGAAAAAATGCAAAAAAATGCAACCAAAAATACCCTAAGTTTCACCTTTGCAAATCAAAGTTTGCTGTTATTGTCACTCCTTCATCAACCCATTGATATGTGGATTGAATCAGAGAGCTGGTAGTGTATGTATATGCAGCACAAAAGGTTTGAGCCTTGTCCCCCAGGACAAATTAAGAGCTTGAGTGTAAGATTGTCTAAGTGAGAACCCCTTCCAGATGTGTATATATGGCATTTGCCATTGTCTGCACGTTGAGATCTGGGGATATAATGGTGTGTCCTTTTGATCCAAAGAAGGAATGCAAATTTGGAATCAAGCAAGAGTGAGAAAATAACAAAACATCCATAATTATATTTGGTTGAGCTAGCAAACAGGTGATGATACAAAGCCTTCACAAAAACAAGGCTTCATCAAGAGTGACAAAGCTCCAACCAAACCAGGAGGCTGGCAATCCCTTCCACTACCTACTCTCTTATAATCATTATTGCAGTGGTATTGGCTTCAAACAGGAAGTGATGTTTACCTCAGACTCCCCCAAAAGAGCTATGCAATGTTGCATCAGGATAACCGGAAAAAGTCTGAGATCCATATAACCCAGCACAAATTCCTGTGTGGCATTTCTTTTAGATTAGAACAAGCAGTGACCTGTCAAAGGTGAAACACACATCTTCTTCATCTAACGCATGATCATTCTCTACCCAAAGGAAGTAGACTTACTGATAGCTTAAGTATACAACCATGGTCTCTTGTTAACAATCAACCCTCTTGATGGATTGAAAGCTAGAGAGTGTGTTGTTCAATTATGGGTAGAATTCCAGAAGTTCACTGTAAACATCATTCAGTTTACCCAATTGGGAAGAGTAAAATGATTAAGAGTATAGTTTGTAATAAAAGGATTCATCACTTCACACCTGAGCCATAACACACACACTACATATGTGCAGAAGGCTTAGTTGATAGTTGCCTATCATGCACATACAGGTCTGCGCAGCTGTCTGCTCATCTGACTAAATAAATCATGTGTGATACATCATGTAACTTTTTTGCCATTGACAAAATTTTCCCAACAATCCACTACATGTATCATCAAGGCTACTCGGGCAACATTCTGGTGAGCATGTGTCAGTAACAGAAATGGTGTTACATGAAGTTTAGTTGTCAAACTTACACCAAAACTATGAGTCAGCGTATGTAGTCATTTTTTGCAATGATTTTGTCAAGCTGAAAAAATGTTACACCAAGTATTACATATGATTCACTCACCCAGATGAGGACATAACTGAGCAAACTTGTATGTACATGGTAGTCATCTATTCACTCAGGCTTCTGCACATATGTAATGTGGGTGTCATGGCTCAGGTGTGCAGTGATAGATCCTTTTATGACACATTATACTCCTAATCTGTTTCCCATCCCCAATTGGGGAAGTTTAATGATGTTCACAGTGGTTGCTGCATTAAGTCTTCTTTAACAAGGATTGTTGGGGATTAGTGGGTGCTCAGATGTGGTGGACTGGTTGGGAATATGGGTGAGGTAGTTGCAATTTCAATGCATGGCTCTTTACAATGGATGAATGACTATATTTACATGCTTAGGCTGTGGCATAATTTGGTGATTTTTCTATCTCTATAGATGTGTTTGCTGTTGTGGAAACATTGTGTTGTAACTCATATTAGGATATTCTTGTACAGAGAGACTGTTAGATTCAGTCCCAAGCACCCAAACTGTTGGATCATTGTCCTTCAATCTCAGTTATTACATCAGGACACCTTCTCTGACCTCTGATAGCCTCAAAGCTCATAAAACACTGACTGGATTTTTTCAACTTTTCTTGTCTTGAAACCACCCATTTCTTCTTTCAAAACCTGGTGGGCAGTTATGGAGAAACAATTTGAGAAAGCACATGCAACACCTGTGAGAATGCACAAGATGTACAAATGGAATTCACACATCAAAAGATTCATTTGGGAATAGTTCCTACTTAGAGAAGAACAGAAAGACCTTGTGGCATAAGTCATTAGAGGAAATTCATAGCAATGCTACCGGTGGAATTTTCATGAACTGCTATGAAAGGAGGAACAGTAATTATATCCACAAATACTTTTGCCTATAAATAAGGCCATGTTTGATGTCTTGTATATAGTATTTTCCCCATTGTCTTGTCATAAACACTTAAATGTGGGCTACAATTGGGGACCAATGCTTTTGGTCTCTGGTCCAATGCTTTTTGACCTGTAGTTGTGGAAAACAATGAGGACTTTAAGGCTTTTTGCTCTTTTCCTTAGATTCTTCTTGTCCCACATCATTTGGACAATGAGATAAACCTGTGCTTTGTTTGTCAACATCTTCCATAACAAGATAATTTATTACATACATTTCTGATTCCCAGGCAGCTACTTTCTCTAAATGATGCATCAGATGTTTGGCATTCTCAGCTGCATATTTGCTTGGGGTTTCAAAAGTACTACTCAATCAAATTATTCTCCAAAATCCCTCATTGATCCAACTAGCACTTTCTCTTTGATGCCAATAAAGCACTCAATATCATATTGGCCAGATATAAGACATGCACAGTGCTTTGATGATCATTGAATTACGCCTCCACATATTCACTCACTTCTTCCTTTGTTCAGTGCAAAAATATTGCTTTTGCAAAAGTGAGGCCTTTTGTCAAAATTCTACAGCCATCTCATGCCATTTCTTGCAACAACTCTGTGCCTTTTCAACCATTGTATGCAAAAGTACTATGTGAGTAAGTGGGGTTGCACTTTGGGTTGCAAGGAATGAATACTCATCTTCTCATTATCTAATGTCAAGCATTACTCACCATCTACTTTTAATAACCCAATAACTCTTTCTTCAACAACTCAATTGACTACCACACTTGAACATTATTCTTTGTGGTTGTGACACAATGTTCCCTTTCATCTCTTTGATCTGACTTTGCAATGTGCTTTTCCATTGCTGTCAACTTTTCAGATGTTTCTGATTCTTCCAAACAAAACCTCTTAGGATTTGTGCTAATGTATTTCATCGGATCCAGAAGCATACAATCCAGCTAGACATACTGTGTCAGGCATCAGGATGTCTCTGACATCATTGAAATGTACTACCATTTTCCTACTACCTTATTTTTACTTCATTAGACATATTGTTGCCCATATATTGTGACCTCTCTGCTGTGGAGATGGGTCTTCAAGCAGCTTCTCCAATATATCCACAAGATCAAGTTCCTATTGGAAATCACCCTATGAACCTCTTTAAATGACTCCAAATGCCTTGGGGTATGCAAGTATTTGGTTAATTCTCAGTCTCAGTTGTCATTTACGTAAACATGATCACGTGGTCGTAGTTGGCACAGCTAGCCAGCGGGGCGCTAGTTGTCGTTATAACTACACAAGGTAAACCTCATCGCTCGAAAAGGCAGTTGCTATAGTGTGAGGCAATTGTGGAACGAGGCTCTCGGTTTGAACATGGCTTTGGTTTCTCTGGCTTTCTCCATGCTTTTCCTCTTGGCCGTCTCTATCATCATCATTTTCATTACCAAGTAAATATCAATCCTGATTATGTCCGTTATCCATCTTAACACTCCGAATAATAAGGCTAATCAAATGTTGGACTTGGAAGCAACTAAACATTCATCAGGCAATCATCGTGTGCGTGGAAGATGGCCGAGGAAAATTCCACTCCTAAATATTGTCAGCTGGTTTTCGATAGCCACCCTGTCCGTCTTCTGCATCTATTTCTTCCAGGAACAGCTTCGACTTTTGAATCCTTCGCTTCATTCATACGTGAGTTGGAATTTGTTCCAACATGAAAAATCCACCAATCCGCTAGCACAATACAATTTGTCACCCCCAACTCCGGAGCAGATCTTTTCTCCAATCAGATACCCTATCTCAGATAAATATCCGGAGGACACGGCTACCGGACTTACCTACCATCCTAATGGTCACCTACTGCTCCAATCCGCCTCAATAAAACTTCAAAAGCATCCATTTATGACACTAATCGAACGTGCAAAACTCGAATGGAAATCAAAGCTTGCACGTCAATCCAAAACTCTTAAAGAAGCAGTTACGGAATACAAACGTAGAAATGGACGAAACCCACCGGCTGGTTTTGAATTATGGTATGCATATGCTACCAAGAATAATGTAAATATGATTGATGAATATGATCAAATCTCAAGGGATTTGTTTCCACTTTGGGCATTGTAAGTCCACACGAATCATTTTATTATTCTTTTCGAGTTATCAATAGGTCATTTCCTGTTACAGTATTTATATATTGTGTTCAGCTATAGTGATACCGACATAAATTGACTCCTTTTCACTGCAAGATGGCCAGAACGTGATATTTACTGACTTGTTTTCTCATTGGATGTGGGGTATTACGCAGGTCACCTAACGAGCTGCGTAAAAGAGCGGACACAATTCAAACACGGGAAAAATCACCATTCATACTTCACTTTGATCCGGATGGAAATCTAGCTATCACTGGTGAATCAGCGGCAACAGGGAACGCGAATTATCTGGGTGGACTCTGTCAGGAATTCGCACCACTCCTTGCTTCAGCCAACTTACCGCCTATTTCCATGGTTTTGCGATCCCTGGATGAACCTCGTCTTTTGTTAGGTTGGGATCAGCAGAAGCGGTTACATGAACTGGCAAAACTCGGTCAATGTATGTCTTCTCAACTTCAACTTATCTTCACGGCCTTTATTATAGGACTGACAGAGCTCTTTGATGTTGTACCTAGATCTACCGGAAGATAACAAGATCAATGGAGTCGAATTAGAAGAATATGATCCAGCTAAGTCTGATATCAATATGGCTGAAGACTGGGCTGTGCATTGCCCTCCAGAATCATCCATTCATAGAGATGTTATCCATTCATCCTCGCCCGACACGGCGCTAAGATCAAGCCGCGATGATCAACAATCCTCAGTGAATCATTCTTGGATTTTCCATCATCCTCGTTCCATGGACATCTGTATGAACCCCGATGATATTGACAAACACGGAGCAACAGCAGGTCGAGCTTGGCCACCTAGTCCTATGGTTCCACTCTTTGCTCTCTCAAAGACACCTCTTCATGCCGAAATTCTTGTAGTACCGCCTTTGTGGGACGATAGAGATGAATATGTCAGTTGAGATTTTTAGTCTCTTTTCGTTTTCGCCCATTCGATTTGAGAGGAATTATTTACTATAATCACCTGGTTTTCATTTGTAGGAAAACCCAATTCCTTGGTCTGAGCGGCCTTATGATAAGCTTTATTGGCGTGGAACGGTTTCTGGTTAGTGTTTCTTTGTCTTGATTTGAAAAAGGTAGTCACGAGAGAGACACAAAGGAACATTAGTTGACTGACTCCTCACCTGACATTTCATGAAATCCGCTCTTCTTCGAACATTATAGGTGTAAGCCTTTCGCTTTCCTTAAAAGATCATCTCTGTGTCCATGTTTGATCAAAATCAACTTACCAATACTCTTTATTACGAATCACTTCCATCACATACAGACACTGCATACGGATCAAAATACCAAGTGGAATACAACACACCGTATTCGATTGCATCAATTCACACATCAATCCAAATCAAATACTCGTGTTCTAACTGAAGACGAGGAATTCACGAATTTAACAAAGGCTAACCAAAACCATTTATCAATACATGAATTCGAATCAAGTACTTCCAAGCTCAACCAACGTTACATGAATATCAGTCTTGTTGGAGGTCCATATCAATGTGATCCAAAACAATGTGAAAAACTTAAAAAAATGATTGAATTTGGTAAATCGGTGAGTATTGAAGAAGGAGCTAAACATAAGTATGTATTAGATGTAGATGGAAATGGATGGAGTGGTAGGTTTCGTAGATTATTAGCTACTCAACATTTGGTTTTGAAATCTAGTATTTTGCCTGAATGGTATTCTGATCGAATCCAACCTTGGTACCATTATATACCTTCAAACATTGATTATACTGATTTATATGATATCATGAGTTTCTTTACTGGCGATATGGAAGGCAATGGAGCTCATGAAGACCTAGCTGAGATCATTTCATCTCAAGGTCGACATTGGGCTCTTAATTATTTTAGGTGGGAAGATATGGTGGCTTATATGTTTAGACTTGTTTTGGAGTATACAAGGTTATATCATCGCTCAGAGAAAGGTACTTCCACCGATTTTGATGAATCACTTTTGCTTTAGTTTGAATACCTTTTAGAATGATATGGATGTATATAGAAAACTCTGGATTCCAATTTTCTGTCTTATTGTATCTTTGCATTATCTTAGTTAGACCTTTTTACACTCATCGAACAAAATGCATAATTTTCTCTATCCTTGAGAACCTTGGATTGTAGAAATCAAAAAATGAGTTCAGTCAGTTTAACAGAGCCTCAGGTGATATCTTACTTACTCGACCATTAAAGCTATGAAAGATCTCATTCTTTATCACAGGTTTCCCAACTGATATTACATATAAAAAGAAGTTTTTAAAAAATCGTGTTGGTGATATAGGTGTTGAAAGATAGTCGAGGATCTCGTATTATTTGACTCTTCACATGATGTTGAGATGATTCATTCGACATTTTGGGTTGATATATTATGAGGTTATGTTCGCAGATTTTATAAAGGATTAAGCTACAGTGCCACGGATTGAAGCAGAGGATGTTTGATCAGGATCATTGTCATACAACTTCTTCAGCTTTTCTTATCTTCCTTCTTGTCGAGTTTTTCGTTAATTGTACTTCATCTTACCTTGTCATCTTTTGCTGATGCAGTCGATCTCCGCTGAGTATCTCATGTGCCCGACTCCCTGGCTCGTTACCAGAAATATGATCATGGAAAGCATCAGCGATTTTGTCTGTGTTTGCTTCTGCCTTCCCTTGATCTGCTACCAGAGGTCTATATCATTGTCTCTGAGTCTTATATTTCCCGATAATACCAATTGCAAAGTCTTTGAGTTATAGTTTTCATCTTAAATAAACTCCTCACCTCTATCAGAAATGCGGAGGCCTTGAGCCTTGCTGCAACGTATCTATTTCCTTCCTTCATTCCATTGTCCAACTATGTAATGATGATGGACACAGCCTCGAGTGGAGTCTCGATTTGAATTTGGGAGGGAAATAATACATTAAATTTAAATCCATTTTTGGAAAACAGTGTTTGCTCTCTGATATTTCAGTCGCGTCTTGGGATCTGGCTGTATGCGCCCTATTGAAACTTACCAAATATCAAAACCAAAAGACCATTTGACCAAAAAGACAGCAAGAACGAGAACGAGAACGAGAACGAGACGAAGATAAAGAAACAGGAACAGAAAACGAACCATATCTTTCTAATATGCCGATTGGATGGAGTTTATCAAACGTATTAATCAGTTTAATCGATCAACCTGAGATTGAAAATGAAACTAGATTTGATGAATTAGATTCCAGTCAGATTAGACAATCTGTTCATAGTAAGTCATCAATATCAAGCATTCTAATGGATATCTTTAACTTATTTGTTTCTTTTGATGATACAGACTTAGTTGATGAACTAACGGAATCATCAAGCTCAATCACTTCAACTGAAGTCTTTCAAACTTTTCAAAGTTTACTAAAGTTCGATATTCTCATTCCTTCATATTATTGAATACCATCACTAACGTTCACTGTTTTTCTTTTCACAGACATTCATCAATCCTACCTCATTCAATCCTACTATCGATTCTAGACGTTTTACCATCAGCCTTCGAAGTAGAAATCAATTCAACCTCTCGAGATGCAAACCCAACAGACCATACAAACTACAGATCCCATAGACTAGCACTAGAACATTACGCATTTTTATTACATTGGCTAGTACAAGAATGTGAAAAACGTAGAATCTCAGAAAGAGGTTTAGATGGGATTTTAACCAATCAAAATGATAAAATAAAATCATCTAAATCTAAATCATCTAAACAAAAAGGTACTAAAACGAATACTTCAGATAAGAATGCTTCATTTGATTGGACAGCTCAAGTTGTGGAAGTTTTAGGTTCTATGTTAAAAGCACTTAGTTTAAAAACTGATTTTATTTGGCCTACTTCTCAAGATCGAGATGCATTTGTTAGGTAATTTCACTGATTTGACTTTTTTTTTCGTTGATTTATTCAACTTGATTCTGATCTTGCTTTGTTTTTAATCTCTCTCTAGTTGCTTTACCAAGACTGTGTATCAAATTTTGGAAATCAAAACTTTTGCTGATAATTCTGCAATTCGAGTTCTTGCATTTAAAATAATCTGTACAGCAGCTAAAAGTCATGGTCAAGCATACAGTGGGTCACAATTTCCATTCATTTTACTTCAACTTGAACTTGAAATTGACTCTTAACTTCTTTAACAAACAGATACCCAAACTTCGATCCTACAAAAACTACAATACTTTGATCATCTATCAGAATACATGGCAGAATTAACTCATCTCTTAGTAGAAGCCAAAGATTTACCACAATTAGCAGATGCGATCTTGAGAGAAATTTCATCTAAATTATTTTCAGCACAAGATACAAAAGGTCCACGAAGTTTTTCACGTTATTTGATTAAATTAACGGAACTTGCACCTAGATTAGTTTTTAAACAGATCGTGATTTTACAAAAACATTTAGATAGTGAAAGTTATGTGATGAGAATTTGTTTACTTGAAGTCTTTGGGAAATTGATTGCTGCTTTAAGTCAAGATGATGACCAACAACCACATCCACAACAAACTAATTCTAATAATCAATCTAATCAATCTAATCCAGATCACGAAGATGATGATGATCAACATCCTGATCGGGCTACGAATGAGAAAGATAAAGAACCTCAAGTGGTTAAATTAGATGGATTCTTCAATTTGTTATTTCAACGTTTCTGTGATTCTAATACATTTGTTAGACTGAAAGTAGTGAGCATCTTTGAAGACATTTTAAAGTAAGTTTGTTTTTCACATATTTGTTAGTGATTGATCACACTTACTAACTTGGAGGTCGATTTTCAAAGACTTCCTGTTCCGTTTCCCAAACATCGATTACGACTAGCTGCCACTGCTTTACGATCATTAGAAGACAAATCATCTCAAGTACGAAAACATTGTATCACGGTCTTGAGTAAATTAATGGAAACGCATCCTTATGGAGTGATGCATGGAGGAGAGCTTTTTATGGATGATTGGAAAGCTAGATATGAAGGAATCGTCAAGGAATTAAGCGTGTTTGATTTACCTGAAGATGAAGCTGCTAAGAAACTCATGGAAGATACAGACGAGGAGGATTTAGGAGACAATAAAAGTGGGGATGAAGATGATGAGAAAGAGGAGGATGAGGAAGAGGATGGATCGGAAAAGAGATCAGAGGATGCTGATGGTGATACAACTATGGGAGATCATTCTACTGTATCGAATTCTGAAACTACAACTGGAAAGAAACGTAAATCGAAAAAATCAAAAGCAAGAAAATCAGAAATGAATATTGCAGCTGTTGATCAACAAGCAGCCTTATCAAATTATGATCATGAAGTTTTAATGAAATTAAGATTAACTAAAAGATATTATTCAGATGCGATTCAATTTGTTCAAATTTTAGAATCAGCTATACCATTAATTGAAAAATTATTAGCATCTAAAATCAAATCAGAAGTTTTAGAAGCGATTTATTTTTTTAAAACTTCATGGATGTATAAATTAAAAGGTTCATCAAGTGGGATTAGAAGAATGTTACATTTGATTTGGTCAAGTGATAATTCAACTGTAGAAGAATCGGTTAAAGATACAGGAGGAAATGAAGAAGGTACCAAAGAAATCAAAGAAGTTAAAGGTGTTAGATTTGCTTTACTGGATTGTTATCAAGAACTTTATTTCGCTTCACTTGTTAGAGAAGAAGGTGAAAGTTTAACTCATTATGCTAATCGGAATATTGATCGAATCACTAGGAATATGATTGAGTTAGTTTTTTCTCTTCTTTTGATTTTGAAGAGATTTCAATACTAATCTTTTTCATATTTTTATGGTTTTATTTAAGATTAACTTATCGAGCAACATTAGCAGAACTAACCTCTTTAGAAGAATTGATGGGTGTCATGATGGATAGAGGTTATGTACATGAAGATGTGATTTGTAAGCTTTGGGAAGTTTACAGTACTAACAAAGATATTTCAAAACAACAAAGAAGGGGTTCTATTATTGTTTTGGGTATGCTTGCTGCTCCTTGTCCTAAAGTGGTGGCTGATAATCTTGATAAGCTCATTGCTATTGGATTAGGACCGATTGGTAAAGTGAGTGAATCGGATTCCATTCACCTTTTAATTTACCTGATTTCTTTAATTCTGATAATTTTTTGATTTGTTCAAAATATAGTCGGATTTGGTTCTAGCCAAGTATTCTTGTATTGCATTAAGTAGAATTGGTGGTAGTGCTAAGAAAGTGAAAGGTATATCTTTTTTTTCAAACTTCCAAATTCTTTTTACTGATTTTGATCATCAAACTTTACTCCAATAGGTTCACTCGTTGATCGAAATGTACGATTACCAATGGATAATCCAGTGTTTCATAGATTATCAGAATCTATCCAAATGCCAACCAAATCAAAAGAATGGTTCGCAATGGCTGAACAAGCTCTTAATACGATTTACGCATTAGCAGATCAACCAGATTCACTTTGTTCTGAAATTTTAAAATCTATGACGATTGAATGTTTTGAAAAATCGTCTGTACCCACAGCAACAACAACAACGACAGAAGATCAACAACCTATGGAGATCGATGAAAATCTTCCAGTTCCGGATTCTCAAGTTGATGGAACCACCCTCAAAGAAAAAAGGTTATCACACTCAGGATCAC